CTATGCTGCAATGCATTTTTTGGGGGGGGTTCACATTCACTTTCACCCCCAAACCCCCTCCCCACAGCTCAGGACTATTGGGAGACGCCCCGAATGCCCCTGGCGATGCTCCCCCCTCCCCCCCAGCCTCATTTTGGGTGGAATCAGCCCGTTTTTGGGGGCTCTGACCCAGTCAGCAGTGCAGAAGTTGACGGCCTCGGCGAAGTTGTAGCCCTGGTTGAAGCCGCTGTGATACGCCCGCGGGAAGGTGATGACAAACTCCCCAGCACATTGGTTGGTCCGAACCACCTGGAAAAAAAGCAGAGTTTGAGCTTAAAACGCAAAGATTCGGGGGTGTGAAGGAGCTGTGGGGTCCCATACTCACAGGGACGCCGTGGGCCATGAGGGTGTTGGGGTTCATGAGGGTGACGAGTTGGTGCAGCAGGTCGGGTTGGCTCTCAAACAGCTCCGGCGTCAGCTTCTTCATCACCTCCTCCAGGTGCTCGGCGGCGAAGGACGGCACGCCGTACCACGTCTTGGGTTCACCCCTGGGGAGAAACGGGGGGTCAGGGAACCCATAAAACGACCCCGGACCCACAGAGAGACGTGGGGCGGCTCAATGCCTCCAAAGAAACTTCATCCTGTCCTAAAAGGGGGGTTGGGATGGACACAAACTCTCGTCTCGTGTTGGTGAGGTTGTGGTTGGAGGGACAACACAACGTCTGCTCTCACCCTGCATCTTGAGGTCAAATCTATGGGGTCATCAGCACCCCAAAAAGCTTCACCCCACATCTTGAGTTTGGCTCTTGGGGTCATCAGCACCCCAAAAAGCTCACCCCACATCTTGAGTTTGGCTCTTGGGGTCATCAGCACCCCAAAAAGCTCACCCCACATCTTGAGTTTGGCTCTTGGGGTCATCAGCACCCCAAAAATCTCACCCCACATCTTGAGTTCGGCTCCACGGGATCATCAGCGCTCCGAAAAGCTCATCCCACATCTTGAGTTTGGCTCTAAGGGGTCAACAGCACCCCAAAAACCTCACCCCACATCTTCTGCTCATCTCTGGGAGGCCAAAACACCCCAAAAACCTCACTCCATATCTTGAGTTTGACTCTATGGGGTCATCAGCACCCCAGAAACTTCACCCCACATCTTGAGTTTGGTTCCATGGGGTCAACTGCACCCCAAACACTTCACCCCACATCTTCTCCTCATCCTTGAGAGGCCAAAAGCACCCCAAAAACCTCACCCCACATCTTGAGTTCGACTCTGTGGGGTCATCAGCACCCCAAAACCTCACTCCACATCTTCTGCTCATCCCTGCGAGGTCATGAGAATCCTGTGAACTTCATCCCGCACCTTGAGTTCGACTCTATGGGGTCAACTGCACCCCAAAAATCTCACCACACATCTTAAGTTTGACTCTACAGGGTCAACTGCACCCCAAAAACCTCACCACATATCTTCTCCTCATCCCTGGGAGGCCAAAAGCACCCCAAAAGTTTCACCCCATATCTTCAGTTTGGTTCTATGGGGTCAACTGCACCCCAAAAACCTCACCCCACATCTTGAGTTTGGCTCTATGGGGTCAACTGCACCCCAAAAACCTCACCCCACATCTTCTGCTCACCTCTGGGAGGCCAAAACACCCCAAAAACCTCACTCCATATCTTGAGTTTGACTCTATGGGGTCAAAAGCACCCCAAAAACCTCACCCCACATCTTGAGTTTGACTCTATGGGATCAACAACACCCAGAAAACCCCAGCCCGCATCTTGAGTTTGACTCCGTGGGGTCAACATCACCCCAAAAAAAGCCCCTCCTGCCCCACACCCAGCCCCCTACCAGTGGAGGTAGTTGATGGAGTAGCTCCAGTGGTCCTCGATGTGCCAGCAGAAGGCAGAGAAGACCATTCCCACGTAGAGCCAGGGCACCTTCATGCCCGAGATGTCGGCGTTGATGTGGCACAGCACCGACTGCTTCAGCACCGGCATCACGTTCAGGTTCCACCCGCTGCCGGCGTACTCCTGGGGGGGGGGACAGGTAAATTGGGGGGGGTCCTGCATGTCAACATCACCCCCGAGGTGATGGAGCTTCCCCACGTGGGGTCGATGTCAATGGGGAACAGGCACGGCCCTCAAAAGAATGGAGCTGACACTGATGGGGTCAATGATGCCCTCATGGTTGGTCAACGGGGCCCAAAGTCAACGGGGAAGAAGTGTCACCCTTGAGTGGTGTCACCTCAACGGGGCCCAAAGTCAATGGGGAAGAAGTGTCACCCTTGAGTGGTGCCACCTCAACGGGGCCCAAAATGAATGGGGACCCCAACGTTGCCCTCAAGGGGACAAAGTTGCCACTATGGAGGTCTGACGTCAATGGGGATCCCAAGTGTTGTCCCAAAAAGGGACCAACATCAATAGGGGACCAATGTCACTCTCAAGGGGACGGTGGTCCCCCCACGGGGCCCAATGTCAGTGGAGGAGAAGTGTCACCCCTACGTCAACAGGGGACCAACGCTGCCCTTGAGGTGATGGTGTCACCCTGACAGAAGCCCGCCATCAACGAGGACCCCAGTGTCACCCCAACAAGGACCAATGTAAACGGGGGACCAATGTCACTCTCATGGAGAGGCCACCACCCCAATGGAGGCCCAATGTCAACGAGGACCTCAGTGTCACCCCAACAAGGCCACCATCAACAGAGGGCCAATGTCACCCTTGAGGGGACGGTGTCACCCCAATGGGGCCAAACATCATTGAGGACCTCAGTGTCAACCCAACAGGAACCAATGTCAATGGGGGATCAGTGTCACCCTCCAGGGGATGGCGTCACCCCAACAAGACCACCATCAGTAGGGGATCAGTGTCACCCTCCAGATGATGGTGTCACCCCAACAGGACCACCATCAGTAGGGGATCAATGTCACCCTCCAGTGGATGCCGTCACCCCAACAAGACCACCATCAACAAGGGCTCAACATCACCCTCCAGATGATGGTGTCACCCCACCAGGACCACCATCAGTAGGGGATCAACGTCACCCTCCAGGGGATGGCGTCACCCCAACAGGACCACCATCAGCAGGAGATCAACGTCACCCTCCAGATGATGGTGTCACCCCAACACAACCACCATCAACAAGGGATCAACGTCACCCTCCAGGGGATGGAGTCACCCCACCAGGACCACCATCGACAGGGGTCCAACGTCACCCTCGAGGCGCCAGCATCACCCCACTGCCCCCAATACCTCCGTGGGGCCAACCCTCACCTCCTCCTCAGGCGAGAGCTTCCTCTTGCCATCGCTGATGGGGAACCCGCTGCCGAACTCCTTGGAGTGGATATCAGCGCCGTACTCCACCGTCACGTCCTCCTCGATGCTGTTCACCAACCTCCAGAACTCCTTTTCCACCAGCTCCGTGGGCACCATCTGAGGAAAGGGGGACAAGGGGGTGAGGAGGGGGCGGCGGGGACGAGGGGGGGGGGCACCGGGGGCATCCCAGAGGACCCACGTGGACGGGCATGTTGAAGTAGTCGGCCTTGAAGGAGTCTGCCATCTCC